CGATAAAGCCCGCCGGCTGGGATACAAGGCCAAGCAGGGTGAGTGTCTGGGGCTTTACTGGTTGAGCAGTGTTTTTAAGCGGCACGTTTAGCTGATACTCAATTGAAGATTGTCTCTGTTGTCTGTGCATCTCTGTGCTTTCGTCCAAACAGGCTACGTCATCTACCGCATACGTGTGCGCCGTGGAGGCCGCAAGCGCCCCGTGCCTAAAGGTGCCACCTACGGCAAACCCGTGCACCACGGCATCAACCAGATCAAGTTTGCACGCAGCCTGCAGTCCGTAGCCGAGGTATGCGAGCAGCCTGAGAGGCGAGCTTGCTCTCTAGCATCTCGCTGCTTCGTTCAGTGAAAGTGATCGACAATGCTATACATACTCCGCGCTCGGGTTTTAAATGTATGTGGGCACTTTTAAAAAGCATATGCACACGTTTATCCTAAAGGGTGTTCAGGGATTTATGGTTTGACCTAATTATGGATTTTATGACCTGTAATCCAATAATGGATCTACACTGGAACTGATTTTAGTGAATAAGCACCTAATCTGTTTAAAAGGCCTCGATCGGTTGAAATGTATTTGTCCATTGAGACAGGATTACTGCGTCACATTAGTGTCAGAGTGCAGGTACTTTAGAGTCAAGCAACAACTCTGTCTGTGAACGAACACCCTCGGTCCTGTGATGGTGCCGCAATGCACATTCACTTTTTCAGCAGCTTTGCTTCCAGAAATATTTTTGTCATAGGTATTGGAGAAAATCAAACCAACCAGCTACAAGGTTGCATTACAAACTTGATTTGAAGCTAAAAAGTATTTAAATATCTGACAAAAAGACAAAGTTACAAGACTTAACACTTTAAAGAAAAAAAGAAAGATAACTACAATCCCGTGAAGCATGGCATTAAAAGCTATTTATTTCAAATTGATTTAAAGATGTTGTAAGATAGCCATATAAATGAGTTCTTTTGGCTCATTTTGCTCACTGCTTTTTTTTCTGATTGGTGGGGATTTCTTTGCATGATCGTGGGTAATGTTTATCTTTCCTGGCAAAATAAC